ATTCACGTGAATAAACATTATATTGATTTTTCTCGTTATTCTACTTGTGACTTCCTTTGTCTTATTTGTCTTCTTTCATGTGGATTGTGAATTGAGTTGTGGCGATATAATTGATTATGCTTACTATTTGGTTAAAGCATATTCAATTGGTAGGAGAGAGAGAGAGAGGGAATAGAAAATAAGAGGACATTTCTAGTATATTTGATGTAGTGTAATAAAAAAAGAAGTGTGTAGAGTAAATAGTGGGTCCCATGTGTTTATTCCCTCTCACTTTGATGAGACAATTTACAGGTAATTTATTCACATAAATAAATATTGTGTTGATTTTACTTATTATTTTGTTAGTAATTTATTTTATTTGTGTGTCTTTTTCATGTAAATTATGAGCTAAATTATGGTGAAATAAATGATTATGTTCATCCTTTAGAAAAATCATAATCAATTATGTTATCAATCATGCTTCAACTAAAGATAAACATATTTTTTAATTTTAATTTATATTATTTTTAAATAAACTTATTATTATTATTATATATATAAACATACATGAATAACATAAACAATTGTGTAATTTAATTTATAATATCAATTTAATTTTTTATTTTGTCTAATATAAATATATTAAAAAAAATATCTTTCATTTCTCTCCTACCTTCTTCCTTCTAAACAAATTACAATTTCTATTTTATTTTATCCACTTCCTTTCTCTTCTCTTCACTTTTTTCTCACTAACAAATACGGGATAGAAGTTTGCCATGACAATTAATTAATGTCAGAAAAATTAGTATGAGATCGTGGTAGTGTTTTATTATCTCGAGTAAGTAGTTTTTTTCCTTAATTAATTCATGCTGTGTAAATAAGCCACGTGGTACCTCTTTTATTATCGTAGCTGTGAGACCAGAAGACGTTAAATATTCTAACATATGATAATGATATGTATGTCATTAATTAAAAAGATTGTGGCGTAGTTGACTTGACCAAAAAAGAAAGTCTGAATCGTACACGTTGGCTGCTCATGAAAACTTAAAACTTCAAAGGAAAGATTACGTCAATGTCATACACTCTTTTTTTTTCTCCTGTTTTTGTTTGTAATTTTTCACGAAACTGCGTGATCCAGATTTTAACGAATGTGTACTTGAGAATTTGAAACTGCGAAGAAAATTCGCGGTATTGGTACTTTTGTTTTCCTTTAATTATTCTTCTTTCTTGAAAATTAGGCTTTGCTTTAATATAACTAATTTTAAGAATAAATTTTAGTAAGTTTATTTTATTCAATAATTTATATATATTAAATTTTAATAATTTAATCGTTAAATTAAATTTTTTTAATATATAGATTAAGTTTGTAATTTTTTAGAAAAATTAAAATTATTTGATATTTCATTTAATTAATTTAAATTGTAAAATTATATCTATCAATTTGAATTGATAAAAAGAAGTATCATATAGTTAAAAAAATTAAAATTTATAAATTTGATCTATACATTAAATTTTTTTATTTAATGATTAGATTATTAAAATTTGATATAAAATATGAATTATTAAGTGAAGTAGATATTAATATATTTACTTCAATAGTAAGTCAACTTAAACATACTTCACTCAATTACTCATGTTTAACATTAAGTTTTAATTCAATCATTAAATTAAAAGTTTTTTGTGCATAGATCAACTTTTCAAATTCTTAAAAAATTTAAAAATTATTTGATATTCAATTTTATTAATTCAAATCGATGTATAAAATATTTTTATAATTGTTTATCAATTTAAATTAATAAAATAAAATATTAAATAAATTTTTAATTTTTAAAAAAAATATAGGCTTAATTTATGTATTAAGATCTTTTAATTTAACGTTTAATGATTAAAATTTGTTGTAGAATGTAAATCATTGAATGAAATAAGCTTAAGTAGATTTACGATTGGAATAAGTGAATCTCTCTATATATAGAATTTTTTAAATAAGAATTTGAATTAATTTTATTTTATTTTTCATCATTCTTTAAAAATTTCATTTGGACAAGTCAATTTAAATTATTTAAATTTTAAATTCTTAGTTTGAATAAACCAATTTAATTTCTACAATAGATAAAATTAAATTCTTAAGAATAAATTTTATAAAATTAAATATTAGTCAATTTTTATAAATATTAATTTTATAAAACTAACAATTTTAAAAAAAATATTATTCAATATTTAATAGTTAAAAAACAATTTTAAATATTTAACAATTAAAGAAAAATTATTGATATTTTATATGACAATTTTGAAAGAAAAGATAGGTGAGTAGGGAAAAAATGAAAGAATAATTTTAAATTCTAACTATTTTAGGAGAATGAAAAATTCTACATCTTTAAATAATTTAAAAAATGTTTAAATTTCAAATTCTTTGTAAACTTTTCATCCAAATAAAATATTTTGAAATTTTTCAAAAAATTAAATTACTCCATTAAAATTTTTCGTTCAAATAACTCAAGGTTGAAATATAATAACTTGTTGTGTTGACTACAATTACAAAATACAAATATTAAATGCAATCGGAGAATAAAACGAAACATATTATACAAGTGACCCAAGTGAAAATACCAATTACTTATTTGTATAGACTAACCATGTTTCTAAAAAATGGTAAATAAATTATATGGTCAACTCAACATCCTCAGAATAGTTGAAACTATGGTAGATCAATCATAATTAGAAGTCTTCATCAAACTTGAATTAAACAAACTTTTTTATGTGCATCTTATAGGCTTGACATCATAGATACTTTGTGATAATCACCCACCCTTCTCTCAAAGAAGTTTGTCTTTCCTCTACTCATTCAACATATATACTAAGATCAAAATATCAAACTAAGTTACCCTCATTCATGTGAATAAACCTTGTTTTGGTTCTACTCAAGTCTTCTTGTATCTTGTGCATCTTCTTTCATGTGTATTATGACTTGAGCTGCAATGACATAATTAATTATTCTCAACTTTGGATAAAGAATATCAATTGGTAGGAGAGAGAGAATGAAGAAAAAAGTTGGTATTTTTCATGTGTTTGATGTAGAGAAGAAGTATATGAATAAATAGTGGAGTCCATGTATTTATCCGCCCTCATTGGAATGAGATAATTTATGGGTAACTTTAACTTTACATTTTTTACTCATATTCATGTGAATAAACATTGTATTGGTTTTGCTTATTATTTTACTCATGATTTCCTTTGTCTTGTGCATCTTCTTCTATTGAATTGTGAATTGGATTGTGGTGACATAATTGATTAGGCTTACCCTTTGGAGGGTGCATATTCAAGTGGTAAAAGATAAAGGGAAGAAAAAATAATATGACATTTTTAGTGTGTTTGATATAGTGCAATAGAAAAGAAGTATATGGAGTAAATAATGGCCCCATGTGTTTATTCTCCCTCATTGAGATGAGACAATTTACAGATAACTTTGGTTTCTTTACATTTATACCCCCATTCGCGTGAATAAACATAGTATTAGTTTTACTTGTTATTATGCTTGTGATTTCTTTTGTTTAAGTGTCTTCTTTTATGTGAATTGTGAGCTGGGTTATGGTGGCATAAGTGATTATGCTTGCCTTTAAACAAAGCATAATCAATTATGTTATCGATCATGCTTCAACTAAGGATGAGCATAGTTTTTAGTTTTAATTTTGTATTATTTTTAAATGAATTTATTTTATAAAAAAATAGATAATTGTGTAATTTAATTTATAATATCAATTTAGTTTTTTATTTTATCTAATATAAATAAAAAATTATCTTTATTTTACTTCTACCTTCTTCCTAGTAAACAAACCACAATTTCTACTACTTTTTTTTTTTATCTATTTTTCTTCTCTTCTCTTCTTTTCTCTCTACCATCTACAATATAAATAGTGTGATAAATTCAAGACCAGAATAAAAGTTTGTCAATCAAGGAGTTGACACAAGTAGTTAATGTGGTGAACCAAGGTCAAATTATTCGAAAAAAACCTTTGATAAAAATAATCATTAGTCAAACTTTACTTACTTCCTGATCAAAATGGATTAATTTAAGATGAAATCTTAAAACACTAGTATGAAAGAAAAAAACTTGAAATTTGCCATATATAGTAATTTATTAGTGTGAGAAGTAGTATGAGATTAACATGTGTATATTACTAGTTTAAAAGTTTTTTTTATTATCGCCAATAAAAAATTAATCCTTTTTAATTAGTTCGATTTTTAAGATAATTAAGTTGTCAATTTTTTTATATATAGAAATTTGTTATTAAATAATAGTAACTTTTACATTATATGTATTATTTATTCTTTCTATATTATATTATTAATTATACGCTGAAACCTGAAAGGACTGAACCATACAAACACATTGTGTGCAAAGTTTAACCAATGATCGTCAAGAAATTTTGGGCACGATATAATAACAAATATCTGGGAAAGTTTTTTGTAAGGAAATAATAATATATATTTTTTAATTCTCTCAATAAACTGGTAAAAAGAAAAGTTTTCTGTTTATCAAAATAACGTCTAGTGATAGGGAAATTTGGGTATGGAAAACAAAACCAATTCTACCTGTACATCATCAAGTGGAATGCTAGCGCTGTTGGTGTGTGGATTGTGAATAGGAAATAGTATATGGCTGGAAAGTCCATCCAATTAAGTGGGGATATGAATGCACACATGGAGTTGCTTGCGAGTGGGCATAGGCTTTATTTTATATGGCGACTGTATGTATAATATAATGTCTACATGATGAGGATTATATTTCATAAAAGACAAAAAAAATTATGTTTCTTGGCTTGATGATAGGTTTAATTAATTATGGCTTTATTTAATGATGGAGTAGATAAAAATGAACAAGTAGTTGGGGTATTATTATATACAAGTGAATTAGGTTTCTTTAGCATCCTTTTATTTTTATGGAATATTCTTGATAAGTAATAAAATCTTAATAGAGATGTGAGCATGGAATGCAAAAGTAGAAGAAGATGGCACATCCGAGGTTGCAAAACACATTGTAAATGTCACCAAATGAGAACAAAAGCAAACACTCTTGCCCCAACTAGCAAACACAATCAAATGAAATAAATCCCTATAAAAACTAGCCGCATTCACAACATTCCTATACACAACCACATGTAACATGTAACATGTTGCTGATTAATTAATTCAAATCCTAACTAAAAGAGACCTGTACACCCCACACATACACTTACACTTACCAGTTTCCACTAATCACAGATTCACAGACAAACCAAAATATTGTTTCATCTCTCTCTAATCTCTAGTCTCTACCTTTCCAAATCATTGTGAGAAAATATTTTGCCCACGTGAATAAAGCTTTTGCTTTTGTCGCTGTTTTGCGACTCAACGTCGTCGAATGACTCTTCATCCTCGTTCCCCAGCGAAAAATACTCCACGTTCTCGCCATAAAGTTTGAGCAAAAGCAAGTACAATGAAACAGCAAAAACGGTAACCGCAATAATGAACCAACTGAATTGGATATTGACAAGCGAGTTAGCACGGTGAAGTGCCTCGTGAGAAGAGCACCTAACCACCATGTGACCATCCTCGTCGTTCATGTAACAACCTTTGGCTATGAGCGAAGGTGTCCACAGCATGAAGCCCATCACAATAAGCCACAGGCCCTGGAAGAAGATGCTGATGGAGCGCACAAAGTTCACCAAGAAACTCTTGGGAAGCCCAATTGAAATGAGGGTGGTGGAGAGCGAGAGCAAGACCAAGATTTGTAACAGAAGGTGGTACTGCCCTTCTGGGCCCATGTGGTCCGCCGAATGGAGGTGGAAGAGAAGAAGCTGTTGGCCGAAGGCTACGGCCCCGAGCAACTGGGTGAGTTCGTAATGGGCCTGCACGTGGGCCCGGTCCAGGACGATGGCGCACGCCGCGTAGAGGAAGAAGGTGATGGAGATGGAGGAGTGTTCGAAGTTGTGGAGATGGTTGGAGGGAATGGTCCAGTCTGGGTCCAGTGGTTGGTGCCGCTCTGGGCCTATGAAAAGTTCCATGGCTACGGAGGCTGTGCACCCAGCCATGATGAGCACAAGCTCTAGGTACCTGAATTTGGCACCTGGGAACCATGATGGTCCCTTGTAGCCCTTTGGGTTAAGAAGGTGGAGCTTGATGTGGTTGAAGAGGTGCCACAAACCAATCAACAAGAACCCAAAACCTGGTGCTACATGTCCCACTAGAGTGCCCATGATTCTTTTGTCAAGTGTGTTAACGTTTTTTCGATGCGGGAGAAAGAGAGAGGATGGCTTTTAAGAGGGAAAAAGTTGATGATGTAAGTGATGTTGTGTGAGGGGCTGGCTTAATTTAATGCACAAATATGGTGGCTTCGCTTCTCGAATAACCTTTTTTTTTTCAAGTCTAACCTTATGAGTTATGACCCTCGAGAAATAACATATGAGGTGGCGCTGCCTTTCTGGAATCAACAACGTACCACGAATTCCTTGTGCTGTCTTAATGCGTTTAATTAATGCTAAACGAATAACATATGATATGAGATAAACAAATACTAATTGAATAACATTTTCTCATTCTCCCTCAAGTTTTTTAATATGGCAAAGCTCCTTTTTTCCTTTCAAAATTGGGTTTGGTTTTGTTTACAAGTCATTGCTTGCGATCGCTTTGACTACAATTCTCTTTACTGTCAGTAAAATACAGTATTCAAAGTTAGAAACATGAAAGGTTGTATGCTATTTTATATTAAGGAATATTTTGTTTAAAGCCTATTGTTCCTTCTTACTAACCATTCATCATTGTTGTCATCTTCGTTTAGTATTTTAATTAAATATTTATGTAATGATTAACTGTTGTGACCAACTAATATAACATGTGTGATAAAGTAAAATAAAAAAAAATTCTCTAAGTCTCCTCTTTATTTATTAACAAAGTGGTATATCCATTCACTTCAGCGTTACAATATGTGCTAATAATTCGACCATTAAATTTGTTGTTACTTGTAGTATTTCACCTATTTATAACACTTTACCCAAATCTACAAACAAATTGAGGGGTGGAGTATTTTTTTTAGTTTTACGAAAACTCGAAATTGGAAACAATTTCTGTGGTCGTGGTGGTGTTTTATTATTTTAAGTAGTTTTTTTCCTTAATTCATGTTCTGTAAATAAGCCACGTGGTACCTCTTTTGTTATAGCTTAGCTGAGGGGATCAGAAGATGTTTAATATTCTAACATATCATAATGATATATGTATGTCATTAAATAAAAAGATTGGCGTAGTTGACAAAGAAAGAAAGTCTGAATCGTACACGTTGGCTGCTCATGGAAACTTAAAAGGAAGATTACTAAAATGTACACGTCATACACATTTTTTTCTCCTGTTTTTGTTTGTAATTTTTCACGAAACTGCGTGATCCTGATTTCCGAACGAGTGTGTACTTAAGACTTTGAAACTGCGAAGAAAATTCGTGGTATTGGTACTTTTCTTTTCCTTTATTCTTCTTTATTATTCTTCTAATTATTATGCAATTTGAATTCCTACGTTGAACACACACGAATGTATTCAAAATGATTTAATAGAATGCCCCGGTTTGGCTGACCAGATTGTGTTTGTCAACGTTGTGTTTGAGTAACATATTTATCCATCATCAACGACGTAATATAACATCTCCATGCCATGCATTGTTATCTAAATTTCGAAGGGTCTCGAAGGTCAAATGTCAATCCTTTGTTTATTATCTTACTCCGTGATCGTGATGTAGATGGGGTAGAAATTAAAGTTATTAAAGAAATTGTAATAAGTGTGAGAAACAGATAACGTAGAATATGACGATTGTAAGAATGTTTTTGGGTCATTCTACTGTTTATAATTTGGTTTGACTAATTAATAGTTGGTTTATTTTAACTAATGATTATTCTAGAACCTGTTTATTTATGTTTTATTTTCCACTTTTTAATTACCAAAATATCATTTATTTTTAATTTGTCTTCTGTTTTTAAAAAAAATTCTACAAAGGTAGAGAAAGCAAAAAAAAAAAAAAAAAAAAAAAAA